CCCCAAAACCCCAAAACCCCGATAGGCATTTAGAGAAAATAGAATTTTAATGTACATAATAATAATAGATTTTACTTTAAATATAATGAATTCAACTAAATCAACTTAAAGCTAGATTAAACGAGGTTTATTGTCACCTAACTCAGACATATAGACTGAACTTCCTCCATTTAGTGCTACTACTATGCAAAATTCTCAAATCTCTAGTTAAAGCAAATTAAAAAAATGAAAGACATTAAAGATGAAAAGCAAATTCAATAAAACTTCAAGTACATTTTTAAATTCAGACAGTCATAATCACGAAAGTAAAGCTCATTTATTAGAGCTAAATATGAACGGCAAACAAAGGATAGATGTTAAAGTTATCTTAAAGATAATAGAAAAAGACATGGAGAGAAAAATGTCTCCAAAACAAAAGCTTAAGCTAAAACTTCACAAGGACATTACCAATGCCTTAATGGGAAATGAAAGCAGAGGAATAATGCCTTTTCAGTAATAGGATTAACTGAAATAGTTGTAAGGTCATAATAAGACATAAAAGTTGTTCTTTCAGCATAGATTGTCTCATTAACAAAGCTAAAAATAGCTTGAAAATCATGATCCTTTCAGAATAAAAGTCCTAGAAGTTGATGATATACAGCAGAGTGAACTATAAAAGCATAATTAAAAAATTATGAATAGAGCGAAGAGTTCAGCTCTTCTATCTGATAAGTCTTCATCTAAAGTCAGTGCCGCCAAGATTAATTCATTTCTAATGCTGCAGTAAAAGATATCTGATATCTAGTAAGCTCAAAAAAAGATGAGAGAAAGTGTGAAATTAGAAATCAATAAAAGAGAACTTACAAATCCTATAGGCTATGTCTAAAAGAGAATCTCAAATTTCATTCGCAATGATGATCCAGAGGATAAATAAAACAAACATGAGATAGAGGTCAAAAGACTACAACAGCAGCCCATCAATGAACCAAAAACTGGGAAGTTCACTCTTCTGCCTTTTCATTAAAGTGATCAGGCTGAGTTTAGACATGTCAACATGCTTTTTTCTAAAAAGGAAGAAGATCATATTAAATCTATGAAGAACTATTAGAACTAATTACAAGGTGGTATTGCTGAAGTAAGGAGAGCTAAGCACTAACTTATTGATAAAAAGAACTTTGACTATAATAAGTATCATGTAATAAGTCCTTTCAATAGGACAAGAAACTCAAATGAGTTAAGCCTTAGTAGAAATTATTCATGCATGATTCCACAGACTTAGCTGGATACAAATAATACCTTAAAAGATAAGGAATAGATTGATAAAATTCTTAAGGGGTGTAACAGATATCACAATCAACTTGCCTCCTTCTGTAAGTTTTAAGGTAAAAAGATTCAGAGGAGATTTGAAACATTAGAGGAAAATCACTCTTCCATCTTGAGATAGATTGATGTTGCTAGGGATCTGCTTTTTATGGATTTATGCAAGAGGAATAAGATCAGACAGAAATTTAGAGATTTAGTTAATTCAAGTTTACAAGAAGATTGGTAGAAATTAGGAGAGGATTTATAAGAAAGATATGAAAATGAGCTATTGAAAAAGCATTGTAAAAAGTTTTCAGAGAAGTAGTTATCTAATAGATAACTTAGAGATGAGTTGTTGTAACAAATACAAGTCAAAGAGCTTGAGATGCAAAAGAAACAAGATGAGAGTCTCGCTGAAAATGACTCCTTTATGATTTGAAATGAAATTAGTAATTTATTGTTAAAGTAATTTATGAAATTAATGAATAATGATGATATAAATCATTTGTAAGTCATGCTAAGGTTTTGGAATAGATCAATTTAGGATTCAGCTCTCACATCATCCATGTAGTCCATTACTGTATTCCTTATCAATTTCGTATCATTTCCTGAGGGTTTTAGCTTTTATTCTCTCATAATGATATTTCTTCTTATTTGTAAGTTTGGGGTATGATTTCTAACTATTTATGGTATCTTCTTAATGAGAGACAGTTCTTATTAAAGATATTTAGGCTGATTATTGCTTATAGTTCTGAGGATTTGCAATGGGGTTTGTTGTTTAGATCTATTGTAGTGAATCTATTCTGTATTAATTTGGATAGTAGATTAGATTGAATCCAATTTACTTTTATCTTAGGAAAAATCTCTTTGCTTATCTAAAATCTTAAAACTTAGCTGTTAATTTTGGTTTAATTTACCAATTAAGTTCTTAATCTTAATAGCTCCAGAATCTCCATAATAATCTTCTTTATTTCTATCTTTCCTATTATCATAGCTAGTTAAGTTTAAGGGATTGACAATGAAACTGCTTTGCTTAATTCTCTTTTTGGAAACAGAATTGTGGTATGTTGTCATATTTCCAGGATCTATTCTAAATTAATTGAGTTTCTTCTTCGAGTCAATTTAAATTATTAGATTTTCACCCATCGGTTGAAATTAGCTTTCATTCTCAATATTAAATGGCTTAGTTGTGGTTAATGAAATTCCAAATTTAGACTAATAATATTTTAATATGAGGTTACTATCCTCTATTTTTACAGTAAAGTCAACAGCGCTCATGAGTTTATCTCTAAATTAATATTTTCCAAATTAATTCTCTTCTTGTCTATCTAAAATCAAAACATAATCCTTATCTGACTACTGAAAACTCTTACTTTAATGATTATATTGAATTTTCTGCATCATTAAAAGGCACTTGTCTTGCTGCTGAGAATATTTCTCTAAGTCAATAATCTTATGGGAAGTCTCCAAAATTTCATTTTCATGCTTATTAGTAATTTTGCACTTACAAATATCGCATTTCAAGAAATCCATGTCTAAGAAGTTTTTAGTTTTATTGACTATATCTTTGATCTTTACCTCAATCCATTATTAAAGACAGCCAAAATGAACATTAGCCATGGAACCTTTACAGGCGCATGGTTATATCATTAAGAGATTCTGAATATTTTAACTGTTTTCATTTAGATTTTACTTCTAGCTAAATAAATATTGATGATACTGATTTTAGTTGTTAAAGCATATTCTGCATTAAGGTATTGAATTCCTTAGCTGCTAAATACTCTTATCTTCATCTTTTCTAGCTCCAGTTCTTGAAAGTATATTTCTTATCAAAAGGGCTGAGGACTTTACCTATTTTTCAAAATTATTAGTACAATTCAAATCAATTTCTGATGTTGTTTGCTATTCTTATTATTTATCATATTGGATATTTTCGTAGGTGCTCTCCTGATGAGAGTTTACCTGATGATAAAAGTTAAGTGGTGATATTTATCTTGATCTATAGATTTTAAACTATTCATTCCTGTTTTAAATTTGAGAATAATCTTTCTATAATATTGGCTTAACTATTTCCTTTATCTTGTAAAATCCTGACCCTATTCTGTAAATGTCCCCTTTATTTATAATAAATCCGTCTTTAGAGAATAATTCAATCGGAGTTTAAATAGGTTGAATTTCAATATTCCCGTTGCTGCTGACAGTGTTTATCTAAAATAGCTACTTTACTTGCTTCTGATTTTTAATTTATATAATAGAAAACTCATTAGTTATTGCCTCATAATCCATTCCTAAACAATTGTTAACATGATAATATTCTAAATAACTTTACCTATCTTAACAAAAGTTGCATTTACATTCGAATGCTTGTCAATGCAAGAAGCCTGCAATGTTTTATTGCTTAGTGTGTCATAGTCATTCTATTTTAAGGGATAGTTTATATTTTTTTAGGAAACTATAGCTGATTTTGAGCTCGATCTAATGTTATATGTCCTAGTCTTGAATTCTTTTTAATCTAGCCCTCGTTTTATAAGGATAAGGTTGTCTTCAGTTACCAAAAATTTCTTTGCTTGCTTAGATATTACAACTAGACTTAAATCATGACTTGAATTGATTTACTTTTGATTAATGCTCTCAAACTGTTGCTTTTTATCTAAGTAGTTTGAGGATTTATGGCCAGATAATGAGTAGTTATCTCTAACTCTATGAAAATTAGTTTATGTTCTCATTTTAAATTTAATTATCTTATTGAAATAGCATTAATCTAACTGTTTGGGGTTTTGGGGTTTTGGGGTTTTGGGGTTTTGGGG